AAAGAGTATTAAGAGAGTTAAAAGCTAGAGAACTAGAGATCTAGTGAACTATGAGAGCTAAATCGCGCATACCTTTCTTAGAAAATGGGGGCACTTTTATATAAGCGTCTGTTGGCGTGAACTTCTCGCATTGCATCTGAGACCTCCGGGAGGATGTGACTTATCGGTCCATAGTCCTCGGAGGTAGTTTCGCATACAGACTAGGCTTCCATGCCTTATCCAATTGCCTCCGGAATTATTGGTGCGGGAGCTTACTTCCAAACGACCTGGGAGTGATAAGACACACGCAGAGGAGGTCGGTGAGCATGTATCATAGGTTGCCACCTGGACCTTAGTCAGATTGGTAAGTCCTTCGGGGGAGGTCGCTCTTCACGCTAGGGTCCCTTGGACCAATACTGATGAAGTACCACAGGTTGGCCTTGGACGAGGTGCTGCTAGCCGCTCTTCCGAGGTGCCTGAGCTATATACGAGGTGCTAGCTTGGATTGGTTTCGAGCTGCACTTCCTTGACTTAGTGAGATCTGCAATTGTTCGTGTGGCACTAAGGTGTCATGTGGCGGTCCTATCGTGCCACATGTTGTGATGTCATTAGAGGGCCAAATCACCCTTCATTAGGTACCATTGTTATTGTTTTGCCACATAAGGCCTTTTTCGATGCCACATCAGCACACTATTGTTAGCAACATTAGAAAAAATGGGAAAACACCAAAGCAGGCATTTTCTCATACCACACCTTTCCCAATTTCCATGGCATGGTCTTAAAAAACATTTTTTCATAAAAGAAAACAACTAACCAAATACGAATTTCTGATATGGCGCTAATGTGACACAATTTTATGAGAAAACAACATCGATCCCAAACACCTACTTGGTAGTTACATAGATGCAGCGACTACAAAAATCTATCGGTCCACTTTTGTAGAAGGTGAGCATAACCTAATATGCTAGATTAATCCATCCCCCAAGTAGGCTTTCACTTGATTGTCAACGTAAAATATTCAGTCCTGAGCCCGAGGCCGGCTTGACCATCAGGCCTAGATCTTAGGCCCGAGCCCGAGCCCGAGGTCGGCCTGACCATCGGGCCTAGATCTTAGGTTCGAGCCTGAAGCCCGAAATAAGAGTGGAGGGGGAGAAAGAGAGTAACCTGATGGTGTTCTCTGTCACTGGTTGCCGCTTGTCAGAGTGTCGCTGGCTACTATTGGGGATGGGGATGTAGCCTTTAACTCTGTTAATGTATATCAAGTTTAGAGAATGGGAGATGGGGCGTGCTGCCTTGCTGGAAAGATGAATCCGCCTTGCTAAAGAGATGAATGCGCTTCACCAATTGTTGGTTGTTGTTGTTGAGGATGGGGTTGCTGACTCGCCACCTCTAATCTTGTTAATGTATACCACGTTCAGACTTGCCAGAGAATGGGAAATGGGGAGCCATCTTTCCAGAGAGATGAATCTGTCGCTTTGTCGATTGCCACTCAATCGCTCATTGGTCTGGTTCTTGTATAATGGTATCCACTATCCACCACTGGCTATGTAGAAGGGTTGAGGAATGAGGAGGGAGGGTATCAGATGAAATAGGTTGGGGGGAGAGTATCGAATGAAAATCAATGTTAGAATTAGAAAATAAAAATATTATTATATTTTTAATAATATATATTTATATATTAATATGTATAATATTGTTGGGTTGGGCCGGGATTTCGTGTAAAATCCCGAGCCTGGCTTGAAATTAAGTCGGGCTTAGATCATTGGGCTTGAGCCTAGGCCATCGGGCCTAATAATATGTCCCATCCCATGAACAGGTCTACTACCAACCAGACATCTTGTGTTAGTTTTCCCATGTTTGTTTTTCAATTTTTATTTTGCATGTGTTTGGAACCGTGGGCGTTTATTGAATAAACGATGTCACATAGGTGCCACTTCGGCATTTCCCCCATTATGCGGATCTGCATGCATAGAAATTTGCAAAAGCAAGTCTTGATTTATGTGAGTGCCTACCATTGGGGGAAGCTTCATTTTAGCGCTTCCCCCAATGGGTAGGCGTTTGTTCACTATTTTGCTGATGTGGTGCCTAATGGTGCCTAGTGGCACCTTAGTGTCAATAAACAAGTTCATTGTTTTTCTCGATTTTGCAAATAAATCAAATACAAACGTTTAGTGAATAAACACCCACGGTTCCAAACACATACTTTATTTTTATAATTAAAATAATCAATAGCGTAGGGATTTGCAAATGCTCTTTGTACTTCCTAATGCTCAATATGATCACTTTGGAAGATGTATTTGTTCTCCTTCTAAACTGAGCTTTGAAAAAAAAAACTACTATATGTCCAGGTTCAAACCAAAAAAGGAAAGACGAAAGCCACATGTTGTTACGACCTTAGAAGGAAGGGATAATAGCATATAAGGGCAACTTTTGGGGTTTAATATCAATAAAAATAATATTTTAAAAAATAGGTTAACTTTTTAAAAATAATATCAATAAAGGGCAAAAACACTATTCATCATCTTCTTCTTTCCATTTGTTCACTAGCGCCACCGTCCGCTACCGCCTCCACCTCCGGCAATGTTGCCGGAGGTGGCCAGAGGTAGAGGTGGTGGTCATTTCTCTGCCCAATGCCGCCACGTCCGCCTTCGACAACATTGTCGGAGGTGAGTGGAGACGAGGTGGCGGCAGTGGCGCTGGGTAGAGGAATGACCACCAGCGCCGCCGCCACCACCTCTGCCTCTGGCCACCTCCGGCAACGTTGCCGGAGGCGGAGGTGGAGATGGGTGGAGGTGGCGGCGGGCGACAGCAAATGGCGGTGGCGGGTGGTAGACGGCGGTGCTGGTGAACAAATAGCAAGAAGAAGATGATAAATAATATTTTTGCCCTTTATTAATATTATTTTTAAAAAGTTAATCTATTTTTGATTTTTTTTAAAATGTTACTTTTATTGATATTAAACCCCAAAAGTTGCCCTTATATGCTATTACCCCTAGAAGGAAGGCCATCCATGCATAACAGGACAAACTCATGGGGATAGCCGGGTAGGGGTAGGGGGTTGTCTATGAGACGCATGCCTAGACATTTTATCTTATATTTTTTTTAAATATCTGTGGAAAAAATTAATAAAAATGAAGAAAAGGAGAAAGAAACATGTTTTCTTTAGAATCTGACTTTGGAGATTCATTTGAAATGTTTTTCTACATGAAACATTAGCTCATGAGTTAGGATTTGTTCCTGCACTTTACATCAACTTTACAGCACTTACAGCCGTACAGGAGAAATATCTTTGTATATTGGCATTTTCATTAATAAGGCATTAAGAAATAAGATTATTGTCCGTTACTAATTTTATAGTCGGTAGGGGTGCAAGTGTGCAACTTGGGCGGGCCCAGCCCGAGTCCAACCAGCCTTGTCCGGAATTTTACACGGGTTGAGTTTGAATTATCGGTCCTCGGGTTGAGCTGGGGCCCAAGAAGTTGGACTTCTTTATTTTTTAGGTTGGGTTCGGGCCTAGTTTTTAGGTAGTTTAAATCTGGCCCAACTATATATATATTTATACATACATATGTGTATATATGTAAATGTTGCATACATATTTACATATATATATATAAACATATGTATGTTTGTATAAGTACATTTATATGTGTATAATTTTAGAGTGGGTTCATTGATCAACTTGAACCCGACCCGGGTGTATCAAATTACAGTATGGGTTGAAATCGGGTTGGGAAAATTGGGCTTGACCTCGGGTTTGATTTGGGCTCAGGCCTTAAGCTCAAGTTTTAGGGCCAGGCCTAGGTTGATCATAAACCCGATCCAACCCACCCAACTTGCACCCCTAATAGTCAGTTGGACATTGCCTAATCTGACCGACTATATAGATAAGGATATATAAAATACTATTTCTAGTATTAAAATTTTATAGAATTAAGTGAATTTGAGATTTGAATTAAAAACACTACCTTAAACTTTAGGGGTTGTCTCAAGTCAGTCTTGGAACTTTAAAACATGCATTTGCAATATCCAAACTTTCGAATGTGTTTAATAGGTCCATGCCGTTAAAGATACGTCAATTATCTGTATCACATGATGACATATGCCATTTAAAATTTTTCATAATGACAAAATTACCCTTTTCAAAAAGATATTATTCATTGTCTTCTACCTTAAGACTGAAGCAATTGCTGCTACAATTTCCTACTCCGACATCCTAACCTAGAAAGGCGGTTGCGACACCAGAAGCAAAACATCAATTGATAAATACCAAACCAAATCCCTAATAACAAATAACAAACACATTCAGAGATCGAGGTTCAGGAAAGTTGGCGGTAAGAAGGAAGAATCATCAGAACCCGTATTTCTCTTGTTAATCCGAAGTCATCCCATAATAGAACAAATTTTATACTTAGTCCACAACCCAAACTCAAATATCCACAGCCAATGAACCAATGCTCAGAGCAAACAAATTTTGGTGATTTCGAGACAATGTGCATATAAGTTGGAACAAATTAATGAAACACTTAAAAATTCGATTTCTTTGCATATCCAGAAATCGTACCTTGCAATCTACATCCATGAAGAAGGAGAGGCAACGACGGAGAAGAAAAGGATGTGATACGTGCATGTGCATGCATGCACTAAGTGGCACAGCAGCTGGAGATCCGGTCAAAGCTGATAGCAGCAGGAGACACAGTCATAGTAGTTCTTAGTTATTGGATAAGCCTTAGCCATTTTGTTTCAATTCTGTTTAGTAGATAAGTCTTTATTTTTGTTTTAGTAGACAAGTCCATTATGTTTCTTGTTGATAAGCTCCTAAGATTATAGGGCGGCAGTTCCTATCTTAACTCCTAGTTTGTAGCACAATAAGGCTATAAATATAGTCCGAAGAATGGAATAAAGGATTGGCTTTTCCTACAACCGAATTCCCTCTCTCTTCTCCTTATCCTATTCTGAATCTCTCTTTCCCCTTCCTGAGAACTTGACCATATTAGTTGGTATCAGAGCCGATTACGACCATGGACACTCGTGGCAAGACCAATGCGGAATTCCGCAATGAGGTCAACGAGACCTTGGCCCGGCATGAGTCAAGCTTCGACCAAGTGAACATTGTCTTACAAGCAGTGTTAACCGAACTCCAAGCCTTCCGAGCCTCACGAACCACTCCCGAGACCAACCCCTTTGCTCATGAAGAGGCCTCACACCCACATACTTCCCGTTCCAGCTCCGTCMATGATCACCCTCATCAGCACGTCAAATTGTCATTCCCGAAATTTAATGGGGATGACCCAAGCGGCTGGATTTACAAGGCAGAGCAATATTTTGATTTCCAAAATATTGCATCAGACCAACAAGTGCAACTAGCTTCCTTCCATTTGGAAGGCATCACCTTGCAATGGCACCGGTGGCTGACAAAGCATCGCGGACCACTTACATGGGAAGAATTCTCCAAGGCTGTGCTACAACGATTTGGTCCAACCGACTATGAGGATCCGTCTGAAGCTTTAACCTGCCTCAAGCAAACTACAACGGTGGCAGCTTACCAAGAAGCCTTTGAACGGCTCTCCCATCGAGTTGACGGCCTGCCCGAGAGTTTTTCTCATTGGCTGTTTTATTGCAGGACTTCACGATGACATCCGTATAGACGTGAAAATTAAGCAGACTAGAACCTTGATAGACACGATCGGAGTTGCTCGACTAATTGAGGAGCAGAACCTACTACAGCGGAAATCAAACCAGCAGGTTCGATCCCAACCAGCCATAGTATCCCAGAGAGGGTCACCCAACCCAATGGAGGGTGTGCTCGGGCCTCCACCAACCCAGCGCACGAACCAAGTTTCCAGCGCTGCACCAGCAACGTTCCGGTGGCTCACCAACCAGGAGGCGCGAGAACGTCACGAGAAGGGATTATGCTACTACTATGATGAGAGGTTCACCACTGGCCACCGTTGCGAACGTCCACAGTTATTCATGATCGAGGATCCCATACAGGCGGACACGGAGAATGACGAGGCAGAGGCAGAGAACCAAGAAGCGATTCCTGAGATCTCCTTCCATGCGATTGCAGGAGCTGAGCACCCACAAACCATACGCGTTCTAGGTAAGATGAAAAACAAGAACGTGACGGTGCTTATTGATGGCGACAGTACCCACAACTTCATTGATCAAGCCATAGTTTCTAAGTTCGGGTTACCAGTGAACCGGGACAGAAAATTCCAAGTTATGGTCGCCAACCAGGAAAAGATAGAATGTGTGGGGCAGTGCCGGGCTCTCACTCTCGCCATCCAAGGGCATCCCATTACTGTTGACTACTACATTCTCCCAGTTGCGGCATGCCAGCTGGTATTAGGAGTGCAATGGCTAGAAACTCTTGGACCCATCGAGATGGATTATAAACGGCTGACCTTGACGTTCAAGAAGGGAGGAGTCTCTTGCACCTTCCAAGGAGTGGGACGAGCCAGCATCGAAGCCTTGACCGACAAAGAGTGCAACAGATTACAAGGTACGGGGTTTCTTTTCCAAATAGTTCCTTCCAACTGCAGCAGCCAACCCAGTTGTTATCCGCTTGAGATGGACCACATCCTAACTGAGTTTTCTCATGTATTTGATCCGCCCACCAACCTGCCACCTAAACGACCACATGACCATCAAATTCCACTTCTTCCCGACAAGGGACCAGTTAGTGTGAGGCCATATCGGTACCCATATTACCAGAAGACAAAAATAGAAGAAATGGTGAAGGAACTTCTGCAGTCAGGATTGATAAGGTCAAGCAACAACCCCTTTTCATCACCGGTTTTGTTAGTGAAGAAGGCTGATGGAGCTTGGAGATTTTGCATGGATTACCGAGTGCTGAACGACATCACGGTAAAAAACAAGTACCCCATTCCGGTGATTGATGAACTATTAGATGAGCTCCACGGGACCAAGTTCTACTCCAAACTAGATCTACGGTCTGGGTACCATCAGATTCGGGTGCGAGAAGAAGACATTCCTAAAACAGCCTTCCGAACGCATGAAGGGCATTACGAGTTCTTAGTGATGCCGTTTGGATTGGTGAATGCGCCTACAACCTTTCAAAGCCTCATGAACGACCTCTTCCGTCCATACCTCCGAAAATTTATTTTGGTTTTCTTCGACGACATTCTGGTTTATTCGAAATCATGAGAAGACCATATATCTCATTTGCGAATTGTTCTAACAATATTATCCTCTAACAAATTATTTGCAAAAATGTCAAAATGTCGATTTGGTGTTTCGCAGGTTGAGTACTTGGGTCATATAATTTCAGAGCAAGATGTGTCAGTTGATCCAACCAAAATACAAGCCGTTTTCGAATGGCCTACACTGACATCGGCAAAGGGGGTCCGTGGCTTTCTCGGGTTAGCAGGATACTACTGGAAGTTCATCCGCAACTTCGGAAGCATAGCAGCTCCCTTGACCCAACTATTGACCAAGGGGGGATTTCAATGGAGCGAGACAGCGGAGCTGGCTTTCCAGTAGTTGAAGAAAGCACTCACTTCACCACCAATCCTATGTCTTCCGGATTTTTCCTAACGATTTGTGATTGAATGCGATGCGAGTGGAACTGGGATTGGCGCAATCCTCACCCAACAAAACCGACCGGTGGCCTATTTTTGTGAAGCATTGAAGGGTTCAGCCTTGACGCTATCCACCTATGAGAAGGAGATGTTAGCTATTGTCAAAGCCATTAAGAAATGGCGCCCATATCTGCTTGGGAAACCTTTCACAGTCCGCACTGACCAAAAGAGTCTTAAGTATTTATTCGAGCAACGGATAACCATACCAGCACAAATAGGGTGGTTTCCAAAGATACTGGTGTACGACTACGAGATTGAGTATAAGAAAGGAGTTGAAAATCAATGTGCGGATTCCTTGTCGCGTATGGCCGAATTTCAATTTCTGTCTGTCTCTATACCACATGCAAATTGGTGGCCGACGCTACAAAAAGAGGTTAAACAAGATACATTTTATGAAGAAGCGACCCTCCCACAAGTTGCTTCAACGAGATGGAGTGTGGTTCAAGGGGGACAAAATTTATTTGAGTCCCGCCTCCACCTTGATTTCAAAGGTAATGGCGGACTGCCACTCATCCCGCTTCCTTTGGCCTAACATGCGTTGGGCGGTGAAGGAATTTTTGCAACAGTGTAACGTGTGTCAGCGCTTCAAAACAGATTGCATGAGGCCAACGGGATTGCTTCAGCCGCTACCGATACCCACTCAAATGTGGACAAATATCTCAATGGACTTTATCGAAGGGTTGCCTCCTTCCAATGGGTATACGGTTATCATGGTAATTGTGGATCGGTTGACAAAATATGCCCACTTCATCCCCTTAAAACCCCCATTCACTGCCACGACAGTCGCTAAGGCATTTATCGCCAACGTTGTCTGCCTACACGGAATTCCGACATCCATTGTTAGCGACCGTGAGAAGGTATTTATCAGCTCATTTTGGCAAACACTTTTTCAGATGCATGGGACGAAATTGTGTATGAGCTCAAGTTACCACCCCCAAATCGACGGGCAAACCGAAGTTGTTAACCGAGCGTTGGAGCAATACCTACGATGCTTTGCAGGTGACCAGCCGCGGAAATGGTTAGAGTGGATTCCCTGGGCAGAGTACAGCTACAACACCTCCACTCACTCTTCCACCAAAATGACACCCTTCGAAGCGGTCTACAGTATCCCACCCCCAAGTCTGCTGACCTATGTACCAGGTACTGCTCGAGTTGGGGCAGTTGATGAATACTTGCGTGACCGGGACATCATCCTACGTGAGTTACAACATAACCTTCAGGTAGCTCGGAACCGGATGAAATGTCAAGCAGACCAACACCGACGTGAAGCCTCATTCGTCGCAGGTGATTATGTGTATGTGAAGTTGCAGCCTTACCGGCAGACTTCGGTGGCGTTTCGGCGTTCTATGAAGCTCGCCCCACGATACTTTGGGCCATACCCAATCATTGAGAAGATCGGTTTAGTGGTCTATCGATTGGCCTTGCCTCCTGGCTCTCAAATCCACAATGTGTTCCATGTCAGTTTACTATGGAAGCATTTGGGACCAATCACCCCAACTTCCACCCAGCTACCCCCAATCTCGGATACTTCGACCATCCTACCCCAACCGGAAGCAATCTTAGATCATCGTATTATTCACAAGGGCAAATACCGTCCAAAATTTGAAATCTTGGTCAAATGGGTAGGGGCACCAGCCGAGGACGCAACCTGAGAAAATGAATGGCGCTTCACCAAATCATATTCCGACTTCCTTGTGGACAAGGATCCTTCAGGGGGGGAGGAAATGATACGTGCATGTGCATGCATGCACTAAGCGGCACAGCAGCTAGAGACCCGGTCAAAGCTGATAGCAGCAGGAGACTCGGTCATAGTAGTTCTTAGTTATTGGATAAGCCTTAGCCATTCTGTTTCAATTCTGTTTAGTAGACAAGTCTTCATTTCTGTTTTAGTAGATAAGTCCATTCTGTTTCTTGTTGATAAGCTCCTAAGATTATGGGGCGGCAGTTCTTATCTCAACTCTTAGTTTGTAACACAATAAGGCTATAAATATAGCCTAAAGAATGGAATAAAGGATTGGCTTTTCCTACAACCGGATTCCCTCTCTCTTCTCCTTATCCTATTCTGAATCTCTCTTTCCCCTTCCTCAGAACTTGACCATATCAGGATGCTGCTCTAATGGGTTCCCATCTAAAAACCGTAGAACCAGAGAAGGAAGTGGAAGAAATGTGAGGATTCGAGCTGACACCACAAAAGCAAAGAGCAACTGTAGAGTGAAGAGCCATAGGTGTTATTGATATGTAATTTCTCACAGACAGAAGGAAGAAAACCGTTGAAAGTCGAATATCGGAAATGAGCGATGGAATGTAGTCACTAGTTAGTAGTTACGACTTATGAGAGAGAGAGAGAGAGATCAGAGATGTGGAAACTCGTCGAATCTATGTGGGAGCATTTCAACGTATTGAAATAGGAATTGGGGAATGCACTCGATTTCAGCAAGACCCCTAGTATTGTGTTATTTATACAGTGATACCATTAGGCCTCTTAGTGAATTTTGTAAGCTTCTGTATTCTGTCCCCTGTATCACTGAGCTTCTAGCAGTTGCAGCAGCCATTACGAGATAAAAACAATCTATAACATTTTCGTCTTCAGTCTCAAGGTAGAAGACCATAAACAATATCTTCAGTCTTAAGGTAAAAGATTATGAACAGTGTTTTCTATAGAATTGTTTTGACATTTTTAAAATTAACTGACGGATTATTAACAACGGGGACCTATTAAGATTTGGGATTTAGATTGCCATCATTTATCTTTTTTTTTTTATTTTATAGAAAAACAGAGTAGTTACACAAGAGGGATACAAGAGGGTACCTCTTTCCCAAGAATCAGAAAAATCAAGTTAAACTAAGATCATGCATGATACAATCTACATTAATCGGCCTGTCCTAATAAGTTAGTCCACATCCTGATTTGCTTCACGATGCATATCGTCTGAAACTGATGCTTGAGTTGAACTGCGACACAATACTGAGAGACACTCATTGATGATTCTTTGACAGTTGACAACAAGCTTAGATTGCCCTCATTCCAATCCCAATCATATTCTTTTATGTCAAATGTTAGTACTGGATTACTCTTCATTATGTTTCATATGATGAAAAGTGAAGTTGTGGCCACACAACTCTCCCTTGTATTGGGATGTGTCACTTTATGAATTCGTTGCATTTTCCCTTTTTCAATTATATTGTTTATTTTTATTTATGTTAATTTTACACGAATTTTATGGTATTTTAATCGAATCAGATGTCTGAATATCTTAAGTAACAAGAGTTGAGTCTATTTTACATATTTATTAGAATTCAGATCTCTTAGATTCTTGTTAGATCAAAATCAAAGGTGTGGGCATAGTTCATTCAATTCTTACTCATTCTAGGCAAGAATGAATTACATGAGTGTTTGATTATACCATTTTTACCGACGGATGATTGACGGTTAATTGTCCATCGGTCAATGTTGTCATGAAAAATACCAATAGACATTGACCACCAACCACGTGCTTTTAAACATTCACGCCAACCATTTATAATTGTTGACATAGAACTTCTTTTAAAATAATGAAAATGAGTAATATGAGACACAATTATATGTTGTTTTACTATATTGTATGACTTTCTTAGTACATTATCTTTATTGAATATACCATCATCAATTTGTTAAACATTTATACTTGTTCATGTTAGTAATTTTATTTTTAATTTTACAATTTTTAAATTCCATTTCTATTTGGAAGTTTCAAACTTTTTTCTTCATTTGCACATCTGCCTATTCAATTCAGCAAATTAATATCCTTTTAATTGGTTTTAAATAGGTGTTAATTGCTTTTTTTTTATATTTTCTTTATGCAATTAAATGCAATATCTTATCTAATTTCTTGTCTTTTTTTTCATATTTTTGTGTTATTGATGTGGGCACACATGGTTGATTAATTTGTATTTTGTTTATGTGGGTTTTGCATGTTTTCACTATATACATACCAATGAATATTATATGTATACCTATATTATTATTTTGATTGATGAGAAAAGCGAATACAAAATATACTTGAAATCAAATGCATTCAAAATTTATTCTCCTTCTTGTTTGAAAAAAAAAAGTATTTAATCTATAACAATATTTTCTCGTTCTACCCATTTTTGTTCATTCTAAAATTTTATTATTGAAAACCAAAAAGAGTAAGAATGAGAGTTGAACCAAACACGGTCATTCAAATTTTGATCTTACCTATTTGCAGCCCTACCATTTATAATACGATACTAATGTAATAAGTAATAATGCAACCATAGAAAAAAATCATGGATGCAACAGGGTATAAAACACTGACGCATTCAGTTGTGATTGGTTACATGCTTGTAATACACAATGGTGCGGGCAGATCCACGATCATTTTTTTTTTTTTTGACATATAAATGTCCATCTATGTGAGTTTACTTTCAAAATACTCCTTTTCATGGTACATGTTGAAACCAAATAACCAATTTTATCGTAATGGAAAATCTATGGTACCGGAAAGACATGATATTGAAAGAGCTTTGACCAATCAAATTAAAGCACCTCTTTGAATTTTAATGAATACCACCTTTTTAAATGTTACTAGCCTCAAATGGGAACAAAACCATTTTGGTGACCTAAAAATCTATTTTTGCTGTTGCTTCCCACGGTTTAACCAGTCTAGTTAGGCCTATCAATGATATCCAAAAATCTATGGCCCGATCGGACATAAGATTTATGTAATCAGATTGAATCTGGGTTTTGCAATTTATATCCAATTAATAATCGGATCAGATTCGAATTTGGTTTCATCCAATCTGATTAAAATCCAGATTCAATTATATTATAATATTTATTAATTTATATATATGTATATATAAATTTTATATAATTATATTTAAAATTATAAAAGTTAA